CTAGCCATTGAAATGTGAGCCACTGGATTCTATTTAAATATACAATGTAAAATATATTCCTTATACTGTTTCTTTTTTGTCCCACAGAGGCATGATCTATCCTATATCCTCCATTTGTCCATGAACATATTGATCCATTGATAGAAAATGTATAGGATTAAAATGAGATTTTATTTTCATATTAAGGGAAGGCATCCTTGCATATTCCACAACAGTCAAGCATTTATCATGCTTCTGTTAATGTTGCTCCGTAGTCTCAAATAGAATTAAATAAGTTATGTGAAGGCCACTAAGAATATTCAGCATATTTGTGAAAGATGCATATCTGCAATACCTGAAATGAGTTAAAATGAATTTTTAATCTTAAAAAGAAAATTTTCAGTTATTAAAGCATAACTTATGTACAGTAGAATTCAGTTTTGTGAGTTCTGACTAAAGCATGGTCACGTAATCACCACCACAATCAAGTTCTAGGACAGTTCCATCACTCCAAAAAATCCCCCTGTGCCTATGTCAGATTCTTCCTTCACGCCAGACCCCTGGAAATTACCAGCCTAATTCATGTCCAGTACGGTTTTGCCTTTTCCAGAAGGTCATATAAATAGAATCATGCAGTACGTACCCCGTTGAGTCTGGCTTCTCTCTACTTAGTATAATGCATTTGAGATTCATCAATGTTGTCAAGTGTATCAATGGTTGGTTCCTTTCTATTGCTGCAGAGTACATATTCCATTATAAGGCATGCTTTATCCATCCCTCCACTGAGGGACATTTGGGTTGATTCCAGTTTTTGGCAATTACAAATAATGCCACTGTAAATATCATCGTGAAGTCTTTAACGTCCAACATACTGGAAAATTAGATTCGCAAGAAAAGTATGTGTTTCCTCAGTATCTGTCTTCCTGATTTTTAAAGCAGACCCCAGAAAATTTTAGAAATGCATATTGGTTCTAAGTTAACTTAAAAATGTAACTTAAAATCTGTTTCTCCAATTTAAAAACAAGTAGGTGAAATGCTTATAATTAAAGCTTACAGGAAAGCTTGTGTTAAACCTAATAATATACCACAGACTTTTCTTAATGTCATGAAAGAACGCTTAAAATCAGTATTATAAAGCTCACTCTGATATTCTGGGGAAATTACTTATTTGTGGCATACGTGCAATCCTTTCAAATACAGCTTTATTTTGTGTTACCACTTCTCAGGACTGATTTCTCTGAGTTAAGTATTTTATTTTCCCTGTTAGGATTCTGATAGTTAATACAAGAAATATGGACTAATGTATATGGCAAGCTCTGAAGACTTAGTTTTAATAAAAGATATTTTAAAAAAACCATGCCTTCAGAAATTACTAAATAAAGATTCTTACATGTAGAAAGCAAGCGAAATGATATATTTAAAAATGTTTTTCTAGATTATAAAAGAATCCTAAAAATGATTGTTCCCTCTCCTTTAACAGCTTTGTCATCTTTTTCTCTGATAACCACTCATTTTTGTCTAAAAGCCGGGAGTGCCCCCCTTCACGCATACCACGCCAGGCCTTTGTTGACTCAGGGTCTACCCTTAAGCATTTTGCAATTAGGACAGAAAGACAGAAATGAATATATAGAAAACACAATGTCAATGAAGGCACATATACTAAATGTACATTAATCAAAAGAATTAAAGTTGAAAGAAAAGTTACACAGATAAACCCCTCTGATGATGTGCCTCTCACACCAAGAATATCAAATATTATAGAGGAGTGTATCTGAGTTTGTCTCAACATGTAAAAATCACTAAGAAAAGCATTGCAAAATGTATTCTTGGTTGGTTCCAAGTGTGCACTTGCAGAAAGTGGATGTATTTCTCACCAGAGGCTCAGATAACTAACACGCAGTGAATTTAACAGGAGGTGCAGGTTGGGGAGAGGATGGCTGTGCATCTTTGAGAGAATGTGGCCTTGTTCATTACCCGTGTTTTAACTCCAGAATGACAGCCACAGTGCAGAATAGTCCATGGATGTACGATGATAATACAAAGGGAATGAAGTAATAGGTATAAATGGTAAGATGGTTTACTTGGCCGCTTTAACTTGGAACTAACCAAATAATAATTTGCTCTGTTTTATTCCTCTGATATCCCAAACATTTCTCAGAAGCCACATCAATGAATGAAGTGTTCTTGTGTCCCTTAAGTTAGATATTTTCTTCACTGCCAAAAGTAAACTTACATGATAGCTTATGAAAATTGCTACACTAATTATTTTACCGCTTATTTCAAGTAAAACTGAACGTACTTTTTGAATTAGTTTGTGAAGGAAAAAAAATCCCAAGTATACTTACAAATAGTGTAATTATTTACATGAATCGAGATTTCTTTTTTGATATTTTATATACAACTTCTTTATCTCACTTGTACCTTCTTTTTTATTAAAACTTTATTTTTTAGACAAGTTTAGAGTGATTAAAGACTTTGTTTTTTTAGATTCCCAGCAAAATTGAGAAGGTACAGTGATTTCCCATATACTTCCTGCCCCCACATGTACCTCTCCCTTCCCATCAATATCTTCCTCTATAGCGGTACATTTGTTAAATGGATGAACCTGTTTTGATATGTAATCACCCGAAGCCCATAGTGTACATTCCTATTTTTTATTATAGAAACTGCTTTTATTTTTTTTTCCTTCTGAACTGGGTAAGATTAATTTGATATAAAAATTTATGTAATACTGAATAAAATGCACTGGAATGATATTCTTATAAACTGGCTTCTCTAAATAGACTATTATACTGATATCAGAAGTTTGCACTAAAAACACAAAGAAGAAGAAGAATATCTGACTTTAGAACTTATTAAAAAGGTGATAAATGGGATATCGAAGCACTTTTTTGGGATTTAGATACAAATGCCACTTGAAGACATTTTCCCCTTCTAGATGTAATCCAGTAAAATCCATTTAAGCTAATAATCTCTGATTAGTAAATTTTAGTGGTAAGCCTTTATTATTCCAAAAATCTTATTTGAGCTTTATTTTTCACCTTCTTCAGAAATATTCTATGTGTTGATTTGCATCAAGGCAAAAGACTAGGAGGAATTACCCAGACGAAATTCTTCATCATTGAAAAGAAAATATAGAATCATCCACAACAGATGTGATTTCATAAACTGTCCATTCTTGCCTCAATATGCAGTGCTTCTTTGGAAACTCTTAAATTTTTGGAAGTAACCCCCAACCGGCAGATAGATTTCTGACATTGATGTTGTTGCTGAACATTTGGTCAAGAAGTCTTTTCCTTTTTCTTTAATACTGGATATGCTTGAATTGCATTGGCAAAAAAAGATTCATTATGAATGAAAGTATAGTAGGGCACAGAAAGGATGTATATTGTTTCATTTGCTAATAGAACCCATTCTGGTCCTTGAGTTAGCTAAATTGATGTCCATGTGTATAAGATTTTGTGGAAAGGTCATGTTTGAAATCCCTACCATAATATCCATCAGATCACAGTTTTGCAGTGCATGTACTCACCAGCCTTCATTTGGAATGTATCTCTTCTAAGGTTACACTATAGGAGGGGTAGTTCCTCATAAGGTTATTAGCTTGGGCTCTGGTCAGTGACAGTGGACTTTCTGTCAGTCTGTTACTATGATTTTATCTCACTGTAAACTGTCATTTGAATTCAGAGGTTGCTCAAACAAACAAAAATTCAAAAATCAGTATTGAAAAAGTCTTCAAAGACAGGTAGAAATATGCTTTTGAAAAATCTTGGGAGAGATTTTTCTTTAATTTTTGAACTTTCTAGAGACTCAAATACATAGTTGAAGCTTGAAAACTTCGAGGTTTTTCACAATGCCTTCTTGTAATGGGCACAAAGAAAAGCCCTTAAAATTTTTCGCATTCTAACCAGCGAGAAGAAATCTAAATGAAAAAGTTATTTCAGGTTCAATGGCACATATACCAAAGGACTCTTGCTCCCTCTACAGAAGGTGCTTCAAAATTGCAGTTCCAAAGATTAAAAAAAAAAAGAAAGAAAGAAAAGAAACGAAACAGACGTTCACTATGATTATCAAAAGCTTTGTCTTGCAAACTAGTTGGGTGTCCTAACGTTAGGGTATGTTTGTGTGTTTCTACTTTGATATTTTTCACTTGCATAAGCAAGAGTTAAACTCCATTAATAACAATTGTGAAAAATGTGAAAAAGGTCTGGGTTCCTTGTTTGTTTGGCTTTGTTTTCTTTTATTTACTCTCAAGGATGAGTATAATGCTTAAAAAACTTCTTTGGATATTGGGTGATTGTTCTACTCATTTTCTTTCTTTTTTATTAGAGAATTGAAGCCATGAAAATAATGTACTCTACCTCAAAGACTTAATAAGTTCTCTTATTATCTACTTCTAATTGTTCCAGTCATTTTTAGTTCTTAGTTATTGGGAAAAAAAATTAATAATTTGAATTGTACTTGAACCTTACCAGAGAAATAATTCATTTAATTGAACTGGATTTGTTTTCAACTACAGGTAATATTCACAAGAGACAAAGTTGACCTTTTTATAAAGATTTCATTAATATATAAAACTACCATGTACATATATATATACATACATATATATATATATATGTGTGTATATATATGTATATATAATCTTAATTTACCCATTTAAGTTAAATTGGAACAAAATTGTTAATATTTTAATAGCTTTGGTTTGGATAATTTTATACATTCTGTTTTAACTTCAAGATCTTTGTATTTAATTTGACAGGTTACTAGTTTTTCTTACTCTGCCATTTAAAATTATAAGTATGGAAATTCTTTTATTTCGTCAATAGAGTCTTAACAAAAGATTGAAAATCCTTTCATTTGTATTTAGTATAAGAACAGCCCTTCTGATGTTACCTTGTAATTGAAAAATGAACACAAGTACAAAGTAGCTCCTTTGATTTGAATAGATCACATTCAACTTGCCTGTTCTGAATTGTTATGCTTAAACTAGACTGGATTTTTTTTTCCCTCTCTGGTAGGTGTACTGGCCCGTTAGCAAATTCCCTTTCAGAGAAAACCAGAGACCCAGTAGAGGAAGATGACGATGAATACAAGGTTCCTTCATCCCATCCTGTTTCCCTGAATTCACAACCATCTCATTGCCATAACGTAAAACCTCCTCTTAGGTAAGCATATGGGCAGCTTTTTATCATCTCACATCTGCATAAGCATTATCATGTGTGGTATTTGTTTGTAGGCAACTGAATCACAGCTATTTAAATAAAAATCCTTGATTTCTTGGTCAAAGCCTCCTCTTATTATATACTATTTTCTGCATTCCTTTCGTAGAAAACTAAAAGATGCAGATTTCTCATTACTCAAGAAGTCAGTTGACTAAACTAATTGACTAGTAAATCTAATGGAACATTTTGCTGCCCCTCTCCCCCCAAAACAAATTATAATCTAATAAAACTTTGCTGTATATTACATATAGTGGTAATTAATTCATGAATTTTCAATATACTATTTTCCAATGCATTTTATCAGTTCTTAGTACATACCTCATGAGGAAAAATCAGTGCCCAGAAACTAAAGTATTACCTTTCTTAGAATTTTTTTTGGTGTAATTTTTTTTGATGTAAGTATAATTTATATTCATTTCCCTTCTTGATATGCTGCCTACTTCTATTTATCATATCCTGAAGAAGTTAAGAAAAAAAGACTAAGAAGTATTTACCTTTTTTAATGAGGTACTATTTTACTTTTCCTTAGATCAAATAAGAATGTGAGAAATAGGGTTTTCTTTTTTTTTCTTCTTGCCAGTTGTTTGTTCTCATTGTAATGGAGACAACCTTGAAGTGTCAGCCCCACTGAGGTATAGAGCAGTTGTTAAAACTGGGTGGTGCGTACTGAAATATTAGTTTGTGTTTAAGTAGGATGATTCTGCACTTGTATAATTGATTTATTAATCTGTAATCTAATACTATTTTTCTTTATCTCATCTGACTTACATGAAGTACTCAATAAGTCAAATCTCAGTTTTAAAACTTAGTGAGCTCATTTCCTTTGTATGACGGAATCCCTGGAGCTTTGCTTGGCATACAGCACGGGGTTTCACTCACTACAGCTGGTGGCTCAGCCTTCCTGCCTTCCAGCACCTCTTGAATGAGGATAGGAAAACTACTGAACACTTCAGCCATCTGTCTTATCTTCGTGCATCGTTTCCGTTTTAAGGTCAAGTCCATCAATGGAAAGCATTCTGTGAGTGGAGTGTTCCCTCCTTTTCAGATGAAAAATCTAAATAGAATGTTTTAGTGTCTTTCTTAGACTATCACACCAAGGTGAAATGCAATACTTGGAAAAGAGAAGCAAATCTTCATTTTAACCAGAGATCTGTCGAAATGAGTGATCCTGGTTAAAATTATCAACACTCTACAGAATTCTTAACCAGGATCACTAACATTCTGCAGTCTAGGGCTTCATATTTCAAAACAAGAACCATTTCATTTCTTGCTAATCACTGGTGTTTAAGACATTTGTTGATAAAATAGTGTCCTTGAGAAGATAAATGACTGAGAGGCAATTTGTTATTTTGGAAGAACCAAATGTCTACTACTCTTATTAGAGGAAAGTTACTCCTTCATATCGAATACAAATGGTCACAATTTTTAGTCCCTTTGGCTCCTACAAATGTATAGTAATGTGTAAAGACTGAAATAAGATGAGCTTTTTTGGTCTTCTTGGGATTTCATTTTTTTTTCATTGCTGAAGAGGTGAGAGTTATATTTGAAATACTTTGAATTTTAATTGTTAGATCATATCAGATGAGATTTTTGGTGGCAGACCTCCCAAATCCTGAAAATAAATTTGAATTATGACCACCATTACTATCTTTCCATTGTTACAGAGAAGTAATAAATGTTGATTATCCCTAAACTTAATAGGAGTGAATTTTTTATCTTTTTGTTCTTGAAAGCCAATGGATGAAGTACCTTCTTTCCTCCACAGAGCACTCTGTAAGCTTAAATACTTCCTATCCTAATATGTTTCCCCCACCCTTTGGAACATCAGAAGAGATAAATTATCAATATGCAGAAAAAGTTAAACAGTAGATGAATAATTCAATTCAGTTTCAGTAAAAATCCATCATTATTATGAAAATTCAATACATGATAACTATTTTAAAATGAACCATCTCTGGCCCCTGAAACAGATGTGGCCACCAGAGAGAATAGAAATGAATTTCAGATGAAGCCCTCTTGCAATAACTATTTAAATATCCGCTATCTCCTCCATTATGTATGTACTTTTACTTTGCCCCAAGAATTCAGAGTAAATCAGAGAAACGGAAAATGTAAACTCTGTTTTCTATAGCTTTTTATGAACAGAATAGCTTGGTGAGCAGAGAGTTCATTGTTACACAGCTATATTCTAAAGACAAAGTATGCTCTGTACTTTCTCTTCCTACTATCTTCCCACGCCCCAGTTTTGTCCATTGTGTTCATAGTATTAATGAACACATAGTTCAAAGTATTAATACTAACAACAAAAATACTGCTTTAGTAAGTATTATCCTTTACAGACACCTTGTTGTGTACCCAAAGCCTTTGCTAAAGTCATTTTTCTACAGTTATCAGAAGGGCGGGGTTTTGTTCATAGTAGTAGTGAAATTGTGACAGACCCTAGGTATTTGAATATGCCTATCAAAATTTTAATGAAATTATAGAACATTTAATAATTCTCCTTCTTTGTGGGCTCTAGTTTACCTTAAGGAAAGTTTAAATTACAGAAATAAAAATATGTTAAACATCATTAACAAATAATAAAGTCATTGGGACTATTACATGTGTATATGTGTGTATACACACACACACACACACACACACACACACACACACACACACACACACACACACACATATATAGGCCTTACTACATTTTCAAAAACTTGACAAGGTATTATTGAACTTGTCCAAAATGATATGTTAACTTCACAGATGTGTTTAGGAAATCAACAATTTTTGTAGTGCTTGTATTTCTTTATTTCTTTTTTTTTTTAAAGATTATCTTTTTACTTATTTTATTTCTTTGCAAAAATAGTTCAGTAAGAATATCTGGATAGGGGCGCCTGGGTGGCTCAGTTGGTTAAGTGTCTGACTCTTGATTTTGGCTCAGGTCATGATCTCAGTCATGAGATCCCGCCCTGGGTCCGGCATTGCACTGGACATGGTGCCTAAGATTCTGTCACCCTCTGTGCCACCTCCCTGTGTGCTCACAGGTGTGTGTGCACCATCTCTCTCTCTTTCAAAAAAAAAAAATCTAAAAAGAATATTTGAATAATATTTCTTACACTTTTTCCAGAAAAGGAAATCACATTTATTTTCAAACTTTAGCATATGAGCAGGGTTGCTAGTTCCTATCACCTCTCCAAATTACTTTTAAATGGAAAGTAATCTTCCTTATGATTTTTGTTCTTTGATCTCTGTGTTAGGTCCTGTGATAATGGTCATTGTATATTGAATGGAACACATGGTACATCTTCAGAGATGAAGAAACCAAACATCCCTGAATTAGGCATATATTTAAAGGGTATGTATAAAACCTATTCTCTTTGTGTTCTTCATCTTAATGGTCAGAATTTAAAGGCAAAATTCCATGCCATTGTTGTACTGAAAATACATTAAGATTTTGTGTTATCCTCTAGGAGATGTTTTTGATTCAGCCTCTGATCCAGTGCCATTACCACCTGCCAGGCCTCCAACTCGGGACAATCCAAAGCATGGTTCTTCACTCAACAGGACGCCCTCTGATTATGATCTTCTCATCCCTCCATTAGGTTGAAACCTTTAAAAATTTTTCAAATAAGCCACCCTGCCTCTTCTTTCAGTTAATATCTGAATTATTAGAATTCAGAGTTCAGTGTAACACAGACTTACAAGGTTATGAGTTGGTCTGAATTAGAATGGATTCTCTGGATAGTGGTGGCTCTTAAATTCATGTAACCATTATTCCACTTATATGATTGAAGCAATGGTGTACGTAGCTGGCCATCAATCTCCGTGTTATCAAGCTGTCTTCTCATGTACTAAATGCAATCTTAAAAACCTATCAGAGCATCATTCCTTCCCCTGAGGCCTTGTGTTCCACTAGACTTGAAATGTTCATCTGAGATTTTCTTTAAGTACAATTCTTTAATGAATGTGTACTTACTTTTTCTTTCAGGATACAATGACCCCATTCACTTAGCTAATTACATTTTGGAAACTTACATATTTTATTCTGGAGAACTGAGAAATAGATTTTGTCATAGAATCATTGCAACTGCACATCCAAGGAATCTCAATTTTTCTGGTTCAAATTTTAATATGAAGTACACTAGTTTGTGTGTGTGTGTACATGTGTGAAGGTACATGTGTGTATATATGTTAAACTTGGCTGGTGCTGGTATCTGTGTTGATTTCATTAATTCTAAGTTGGAAGCTTCTCCCCCTATTTTTAGAGGAAGACAATTAGAATCTCCACGCACCTTAAGGCTTCACAAGTCATCGTAACATAGCGTATGATGAAGGTCCAGTTATAGGCTTATGTGAATTAATTATTAGGCTCCCAGAAATGTGAAATGACTCTTGAGTTTTTCCACAAACCCCATCAACCAGTGTTTCTAGTTATGTAACAGCAGTGTCTTTTGCTCCTGTTCATTCTGTGGTTCAGTGCTTCATTCTCAACTACATGAATTACAAGCACCTGCTAACTTCTTTTCCTCCAGTTTTTTTCTCCCTCCCACTTCTTCCTATATGCTGGTTTTTGACCTGCTACCCAAGTCTTGATGATCTAAATCAAGCATCGTCCAATATAACTTTATGTAGTGATGAATGTATATATTCACATGTGTGACTGTGGATGGAACTGAATTTTAATTTAAGCTAAATAGCCATGTGTGGATGCTGACTACCACATCGGACAGTGCAGATCAGTGTTCCGCCTGTCTTTACAACTCAACCTTCCTCTAGCTCCTCATGTGCATTTCATGCTTTATTTATACTATTTATTTTATACTATTCAGTCTGTCAAGAAGATACCATCCTAGCATTTGATGAATAAGTGATTTTGAGGCTCTGATATCCCCGGCCTTCCTGTTCTTGGTAACACCTTGCTAAATGCCACTTTCTACATTTCCCTTCCCTCTTAAACGTGTAGCTTTCTCTGTGGGACCTGTGATACTTTCACCTGTGAATCATACCTCTTTGTGAATTTTTCTTAGATCTCCTTGTGGACTCTAAGCTCCTTGGATCAGGTCCTTGTGATTTTGATCTTCATAGTTACCCACGTGCCTAGCATGGGACCTGACATTTAGGGGCTGAAAAAGGATTTGAATGAATAAGATGATGAATGTAGCAAATAGCTGAAGGCTGGGCTGACAGCAAAGCTCTCTCCCTCCACCCTCATACCTTCAAATATTTTAAGTTAGACAAATATCTATGATCATTAGAGAATGTGTTTTGAATATTTTTTGCAAGGCAAGTTAGATGAATGGTAAAACCATTTTTCTTTAAAATGTAACTTTGGCTTAAGTCGATAAATTTAAATACATGCATTTTTATTACTGGAACATGTACGTGTTTGTTTATATCCTGTTTGATTCACAAAGTATTTGAGATTACTTACAAAAATACATACTTTGCAATTTTATTGTTTTAAAGAATCAAGATATGGGAAAATGTGAGTAGAATAGTAAGATGTGGCAGGGGAAAAATAGGTAGGCATAAAAGCATTCTGCAATATTCTGTAGTTACTAAAGCTGGGAAATATGCAGATATAAGTAGTTTGGGGACCACAGAACATAGTTCTATATTTAGCTGTTCCTTTTTAGAAATATCTGATAAGTAGACAAATATATTCCTGTACTGTATGTTCATTTTCTATATTTTAACAATGAAATATGTGGAACATTAGTTTAAATGAATTAAAATTCAGAACAAACTTTAAAAGATTATTCTGGGGGCGCCTGGGTGGCTCAGTCGGTTAAGCGTCCGACTTCAGCTCAGGTCACGATCTCACGGTCCGTGAGTTCGAGCCCCGCGTCGGGCTCTGGGCTGATGATGGCCCAGAGCCTGGAGCCTGCTTCCGATTCTGTGTCTCCCTCTCTCTCTGACCCTCCCCCGTTCATGCTCTGTCTCTGTCTCAAAAATAAATAAACGTTAAAAAAAAATTAAAAAAAAAAAAAAAAGATTATTCTGTTCTGTAACATTAAAATTTTTGTGCATAGTGTGATTTTCTAATAAGAGGCTGTGAACTCTTATTGTTACATAAAAAATTCTGGTTTTGATGGTATGACCTATAATAATTTTTAGTTCTAACTTCCCGTGTCTTACTATTATAAAGGTTATAAGTAGATAATCAGCTTTTTCATAACCCGCAGTACTGCTTTTTTAACAGAAAGGCCTGGGTGATAGGAAAAGTTTACACCTGTACATGTGTGTTTGTGTGCCTGTGTTTCTCTCCAAACACTCCCAGAAAATAATTAGCTTTCATTATCAAAGTTGGTAAACTGCTAGATAAACCCTGCCGGTGAAGTTCTTTAGGAGCAGCAAGAGAAAATCAATCATTGCTTTGGCCTGATGCTGTGTTTTCATTAATGAGGTTTTGCTGTTGATATTCACCTTTCTTTAAATGCAGGTGAAGATGCTTTTGATGCCCTCCCCCCATCCCTGCCACCTCCCCCACCGCCTGCAAGGCACAGCCTCATCGAACACTCAAAACCTCCTGGCTCCAATAGCCGACCATCCTCAGGACAGGACCTTTTCCTTCTTCCTTCAGGTGAGAGGAAAAAGCCAAAGAAAACTTTTCACTTAAAACAAGAATATTTCTAAGATCATACCGTCAAATAAGCATCAGTAATTTATTGGTTTCTAGCTCCCTAGCAGAACATTCTGGGTAGAGAAAATGAGAAATTGCGTAGGTTTCCTTGTCAGTTGGTTGATTTTAATGCAAAGGATTCCACAAATGACAAAAGTGATAAGAATCATAGATTCTATGGAGCTCCTCCAATCCACATAACACCCTAATGTCACACAAGGCTTCCCTGAGAACCAAAAGGGCTCCGTGATTAACCTATTAGTGATGACGACAGAATTTAGACTGTCCCGATTCTGTGTACCGTATGTTTTTCTAATAAGTTTTAATTTTACTAGCTATGGCTATAATTTTATTCAAAAAGATAATATTTTGGTAAATTGCATTATTACAGCATTAGTAGAGAAGTTTTTCTGAAATATCTACATTTTATTGTTACCATCGTTATTTTTAATGTCTCAATGTATCTACTTAAATTATTGTTTTTCCAGGAAAAATTAATACACAGATTTTTTTTAAACCTTTCAAATGAGGAGTAAAAATAAAAATAAGGAGACTTAATAAGCCATCTGCTCCATTAGCCAGAACTGTCAGGAAAAAATAATCAGTTACAGTGAATCTGCTGATATTAACTGTTCCAGTCTGTCATATTGGTGAGATTGATCTGTGTTCGGAAACATTTATCTCAATTTACTTTGGATACATTTGTATATTAGATAAATCATTAAAAGATTTTAATAAGCGGAGTGCCTGGGAGACTTAGCTGGTTAACTGTCCGACTTTTGATTTTGGCTCAGGTCATGATCTCACAGTTTGTGAGCTTGAGCCCAGTGTCAGGCTCTGTGCTGACAGCACTGAGCCTGCTTGAGATTCTCTCTCTCTCTCTCTCTCTCCCTCTCTCTCTTCCTCTCTGTTTTTCTCTCAAAATAAATAAGCAAACTTTAAAATCACTTTTTAATAAGTGCTCAATTTGTGCTTTGGCCTCCTCTGTGCCTCAGTGAAAACTTGTGAATCTTAACTATTATCTCACTTTCAGCACTCATGTTTCTTCTAGGGTTTTCTTTTCCACTTAATTTGATAACCTAGAAAGTTTGAGGTCATTTATGGATAAGACCTACAAATTACACACCTGTAACTTAGAATAGGTAGCTTCAGCTCCTAAAAGTAGTTTAAGAAATAATTTTGAGTTCACTTTTTCATCAGTAAATACTGATTGAATTGTCTTCTGTGTCACCTGCTGTGTTGGATGCCTCCCTGATCTCCTGGAGTGAATTCACTGGGTTCTGCTAATCAGAGGGTGAAAACTCATATGCCTTCGAATCAAAGCAGAAAGCATAGATAACTATGAGACTCCTGTTCATTCTTATAAACACTGATAACATTTGCTATCTTTTTCTCTCCTTCAAATCTTTGTTTTACACGTGGACTCGAACATAAAAAAAAAAAATTACTCTAAATCTTAACCTTTCCCAAGGCTAATTTCTGGATAGTCTCTGGTCAGATTCCTGCAGTGTATCTATTACCTTTTATATATGTGATTTAGGCCCCATTAAGTAAAAGCCAATGTAGTGCCTTCTTTTAAAATTAAGTCAAGCCTTCCAGGAGTTGGAAGAGAACATTTTACACAAATACAGACGTCTACCTGTTTTTAATCAAAAGAGTTAGTTGTAAAATGTTTGAGTTCTTTATCATAATTTAATTTTTCATGGTGCTTCATATAAAAAACTTCACAAAAATGCTCTCATTATTAAAAAATTACAGAATGAAAATGCCCCTTTTATTCAGTAAAACAAAACTTACGTAAGCGGTTTTATTTCCTATAGAGTTTTGCTTGTTTTTGATTTTGCTTGGCTGCCAGGCATCTTGGCAGTACTCAGCCTTAACCTGTGGTGTGAGGTTAGCATGGGGCCAGGGCGGTGTTGTTGGAACCTGGGACTGTCATTCTTGACCTTCTTTTATACATGGAGGTATTCTAATTCCACTCTCAATAATGTTGGCATCCCTTGATCATAAATACTTCCAAGAAAAAAACTTTTTTTTCCCTCTTCTAGCCTTTCATATCATTCACATGACAAATTTCTAGTCTGTTGCCAAATACTTTCTGAGATCCATTGAGACAACTGTTTTTATTCAATTTTATTTATTTTTCATCAAAGCATAATTAACATACAATGTCATATTAGTTTCAGGTGTACAACATATCAATTCAGTGATTCTATGCACTAGTCAGTACTCCCCACAATAAGTGTAGTCACTGTCTGTCACCATCTAGTGTAATATCAGTATTATTGACTACATTCCCTATGCTGTACTTTTAATTTCTATGATTTTATAACTGGAAGTTTGTACCCTCTTAAGCCACATGTGTTAGCTCTCCTCTTTTTCAAAAGAAATACTGTAATTTTTCTTACATAACAATAGGACATGTAGGTTTCTTTTCACTCATAAATAAGTATTTGAGTATCATTTTACAAATTATTTAACACACTGTATATCTAAAGTATAAGACTTTTGACCTTTCTTCACTCTTCTTTCATTGAATTTCGTGAAATACTCTGTAAATGATAAATGAAAGTTTGACTCAATAATTCTAGAACCATAAAAGGTAAACAGAGGTGATTGTTACATTAAACAGACTGTATGAGCATTGCACTGCCATTGTTTTCATATTGTTCAGTCTTTACAATTTTAGTCCAGTGTAACCTTTACTGGCATGATTGAGATTTGGTTTCCTTGATGAAATCATTATCCCTAATTAAAGACAAAGGATAGATGTCTTAAAAAAAAAAAGATTGGATTTCCTCATGATGTTGTATTAAATACCTAATCAAACCTCCGTCTCTGTTCCCAGTATTCAGTGCCCTGCACACCAGAGTCAGGTTCACCTTTCCAGCCTTATAACAGCAGTTTTCAAACTGCAAGGTCCTGCGTTTCTGCAAAGGAGCCTCAGGGTTCCTGCAGGAGCTGGAGGGGAAGCAAAGCAGGGCACAGCTCTGATGCTTCTTTTATCTGTTTTCTGTCTTCAGCCTTCATGCAAGATTTCTTTTGGCAAATAGTAATGCCCACTGCTGTGCATGAGCATCCATTCTGGACGGGCTATAGTCCTATCTTCACAAAACCTCAAGAATCCTCAAAAAAAGCCTTACACTTTGTTAGCATATATGTGCTTTTGTTCCATTCACAGAGGCACTTCTTTTGTGCTGGTGCCTTGAAAGAGGCACCCATCCTTCCACTTTGTGCCAGGGCCGGTGCTCCTGGAACAAAGCCCAGGCTGTCTTGAACTCTGCTCATTCCCATAACTGCATGTCTTTGTTCAGTGCACAAAATACACAACACATCTGGCAGCCCTTATTGAACCTTCCCTTCACTATTTTTCTAACCTGGATCTCTTTTGAAGTCCTTCTCTAATCTTAAAGTCACAATTCAACTCTAAAAGCCAGCAAATTTGACTTTATTACAATCAAATGAAAGTTTTCCATTTGGATCCAGAAATGCAATTTCACAAGTAAAATAGAATATTTGGATTGTTAGCAAGAGTTATTGAAGGGAATTTAGGCAGTTTTGTTAACTATGACCTTTATGAAACACTATCATGATGTGGCTACCAAGGGAGCTCGTGACATTTGAGGGTTTCACTCACAGAGATCAGATCGGAGGGGTGAGGTGAGGTCCTCCCCAGTGCTCGGCTGGCATGGGACCACTGTGGTGACATGTTGAAGGACTGATGGGCTAGAACAGTGGTTGGTTCTCAAATTATAGTCTTCAGACTGGCACCATCAGTGTCACCAGGGGAATTGTTTAAACCATTTTTTTTTTTAAGTTTGTTTATTTTTGAGAGAGAGACAGCACGAGTGGGGGTTGGGGAGGGCAGGAAGAGAAGGAGACACAGAATCCAAAGCAGACTCCAGGCTCTGAACTGTCAGCACAGCTGACTAACTGAACTCATGAACCACGAGATCTTGACCTGAGCTGAAGTCAAGCTTAACCCACTGAGCCACTGAGCCAGGTCCCCTGCCAGAGGGACTTGTTTAAAAATTAAAATTCTTGGGCTCCACAGAAGACTTACTAAATCAGAAACTCTGGGGTAGAAACTCTGCACCCAGCAATCTGTGTTTCCATAAGCCTTCTAGGGGACTATGAGGCATGTTCAATTTTGAAAAATACTGAGCTGGGGTATTCCTGGGGGAAGAGAGCCAGGATGCTGAAGGGAATTTACACCTGATTGCAAAAAACTATAGCAGATTAAAAGAACTGCAACATTTAATGAGAGAGACAACCTTGGAGATATATATAGATATACATATATATAAATATATATGTATATCTATATCTATATATCTATATCTATATCTATATCTATATCTATCTATATCTATATATAAAGAGTTGTATCTAGTTACAATATTTGGGAAAGAAGGGTTAGATAGCCTCAGTGTCTCCTTCCAAGGCAGACCAGAGAAGAATAATTAAGAATGAAATTTCATCGTAATTTCCTAAATTCTTAAGGAATTCTTAAAAAATTTTTAAAGAATTATTGTATCTCAGAGGGGTAGTGAGTTCTCTAATACTGGAGGATTTAATCACAGTGTGGATTTTGTAAATGTGAGTAAAAGAGTGAGGGCCACAGAGAGAGAGGAATTTTATTTCACCTACATAGCTCTTCAAACCCTTCTAGCTATTAGATCCTGCATTGATGTTCTTTTAAAATTTGGGGGATAACTGGTAAATACTGCAGATGGTCCTTGGACAGCCCCAGAGGAAATATGCCACTGTTTTAACTGTCCAGTTTTATTTGCCTCTTTTTCTACACTTGAGTAAAAATTTGGAAGTATTTCAGATAACAAAAACAAGAATTACGAAAAACATTCCATGACGCCTCTTCCTTGAGATAACCATTCGATAGGTTTCCTTCTTACACAGCATAATTTTGGTCGATGCAAATTTTCCCACTTCTTTTACAGTGAGCAAACCTTTCCTCCCTGTCTTTCCTTAGATTTTTATAATCTTTAAATGAAGTATTAAATTTTCAATTTAGCATTACCATACTGTAAATCACAGGCAATAGCACTTTGCTTTTTAGAATAGATTAATCCCATCATGTTTATTCACTTATTTCTCAAACTTTTATTACTATATAAATGGTACATCGGCTATGGTATTTTCAATTTGTACGTTTTAATTCTAAGTGTGGATACAAAATTTTACTTCAGTTAGTTTTTGAAGAATTTATTTTTGAAAACCTTATTGCTTTTCAAATTTTCTTTTTATCAGGAGACAGTTGATAATTATTATACTCTCCGTAGTAATTGTGTTGTCTATCTTTTCCCAATGAAGCATGGATACTTTCAACTTTACAAATTGCTATAGAAGCCCAGTGTGCCCTATACCTGCCCAGTAGCAAACTTAGCATGAAGGAAGACGTATGGTAGTGATTCAGAATTGAACTAAGTATTTTTGCTGTTTATGACCATATTTTTAGTGTACCTAGTGACTTTTTAAGTGAAATAGTTTCATGGAGCATTATCATACAGCTGTATATTTTAGTCTACTTATGACCTGTAGTATATCCAGAATCTAATGTTTAGTCTTAAATGCATGATTAGTAACAGCATATCTGACAAACCTATAAATTACCCTAAAGAAATTTTTAAAAAGTATGTGTATTGTAAAAGGCATTCTTTCCTCTGACCTAATGTTATATCAGTGATGTTTAAAATGCACAATAACTGAAAGTAAATTTTATGAATATTTAAATCTAAATCGTGAGGAAATTTCTAAACTTATGCAGAAATCACCATACTTGGTTCCATTGGTTACTCTTCCAAATCAAATGATTAACATTTGTTGCATGGAATTTGATTTATCTTCTCATTGCTTCCTAAAATATTTCAGCAAAGTTAATGAGGCTGAACCATTGACTCTTCAAATACTGAAAGTGCTAAATCTAACACAAATTTTAATCTCGAATTTTATGAAAGCAAGTTTAGTAGCCTTACTTAGGTCAAAAAGCCTCCAGCAAAGCCAGGAATAATTACTGTACTCAAGAGAGGAAAATAATAATCAAAGACTTCAACTCTTGCCTTACATTATCTAGTCAAAAACTAGTATAAATATGTGTTCATTTTCTTCTTATAAATAATCCTTACATATTCTTAATGACAAACTTGAAGGGATGTTCAAACAATGAAATATAATCGGATCCTTAATATCTACAATTTTTACTTATGGTAGCATTTCAGATTTAACTGATTTTGAATTTGTGAAAAATATTAATCTATTTGGGTTTGTTTTTGGTAGTTAAAAGCAAATACTTTTGAAGTTTAGGCTATTTGCCAAGCAGCGTGCTTGGTACTGTGTGTTAGAGGACATAATTCAAACATGATGAGTAACGTAAGACCCCTGCCCTCAAAAGAACTTAGAGTACCTCTGGAGATACTGACAGACATAAAAGAAAGTAATATGAGAGAAGAAAACAGAGGAACCAGAGATAGAAGTGGTATGGCTAAGTAAATTATCAGTGAATCAGAAATGGCAGAGGTAATGTGGACCTACTCAGAACTGAAACCAGTTCTATGGATTTAAATCCATAAACTACTAATTTTAAATCAGTTAGGTTTATGATCCTAACAATTTACCATAGTACCACTGACAAAATTTATTTTTCTGCCTTCAGTTCCAGTTAATAAACATCAGAAGTAGCAAAATAATTTTTTATTTGTGTACAATTCACAATTTGCACTGTTTCAGATACCCCCTCTCTGACTGCCAAGGTGGTTGAAAATGTCACTTTTTAGTGTATGTGCAAACCTTAATGTTAATAGCACAATTTTTAGTAATTGAATTTACTGTTTAGTGAGCCAGTTAAAAATGACTTTTAGGGGCACCTGGGTGGCTCACATGGTTAGGCTCAGGTCATGATCTCACAGTTGGTGAGTTCAAGCCCTGAAGTGTGCGGACAGCACAGAGCCTGCTTCAGATCCTCTGTCCCATCTCTCCCTGCCCCTCCCCCACCCTGTCTCTTTCTCTCTCTCTGTCTCAAAAATAAGACTTTTAGCATAGGATGCCCAATATAGTAGTATTTTAAAAGACACTTTATATGTACAAGAAATTTATGTACATGAGTTTATTTAATCCTCACAAATCCCAAATGTCAGGTCCATTTTAAAGATTAACTGATTTGATAATGACACTTATAGGCAAAAGTCAAAAAAAATTTTTTACAACAGCTTCTGTTCATTGTGTAGGACAGAATGGGACAGAAAATAATAATTTGAAGCAGCTTTTATCACCAAGAATTTTATAATTAAGATCTGAAAATTTTAAATATAAAATTAGTATTTTGTATTATCTAGGAATAAATAGGAGGAGCATATTTGAGCAAGTGATGAATAAATTAGACATAGGCAAGTGGATTAGAAAATGGTTAATACCAGTCATGAAATTATTTTACTAATTTATTTCCAAAACCTTTGATCTTTATAGAGAATTTCTAGGATTTTTTTCCTTCAGCCACTTGGTAGAGATAATCATTTTAATTTGAAAATTATCTTTACTTTTAAGATCCCTTTCTTGATCCAGCAAGTGGCCAAGTTCCTTTGCCTCCTGCTAGGAGATTACCAGGCGAAAATGTCAAAGCCAACAGAGCATCACAGGACTATGATCCGCTTCCTTCATCTTCAGGTGAGTTAGCGAACAATAGTAATAATGCTTCCTTGCATTTGTACAGTGCTTGCTGGTTTTCAGAGCACTTTTTTATTCGTTACAGAATTTAATGAGCACTCCCAGCAAAGTATTTTTGTCACTTTACAGTGTGCTTATAAAACTTGTATTACAAGTGGAATCCCTACGAAACTGCCCCACAAATAAGAAAAAAAAAGAAAAAAAGAAGCAGCTTTCATATTAACCTTATCACTCAGTAAAGCACATATTCTGATTCAGAGTCTGTTCCTTCTCTAACCTTTGTTTTGCCATACCAGAGATGAGAAATGGGAAAAATCTCTTCGTGCATTAACACGCTGCATTCTCTTATTTCTCTATTAAAGGGAGAATTCTCTTTAGAATTAATATTAGCACCAAACTATTAATTTTCCAAACTTACTTAAGGGTGATACTGCAGTGCTCCCCTGTCAGCTATTACGTAGAATGAGGGAAGAATGTGCCGTCTCAGTAAATACCAGTCATACTCCTAACCATTAATAATGAAATGCCGCTGCTTTGCTTCTTTGGGAGGCCTTCCTCCAATAGCATATCTAAAATGGTTCCCCATACCTTACGCAGTCCCTTTCTGCACTCTTCTTGTGCTTTATTTTTCTTCATAGCATCTGTCACCGCCTGAAATTCCATTCGTTTGCTTGAATTCTTATTTGTCCATCTTCTTTGCTAGAATATTAATGCTTTGAAGATAGGACTATGGTTTGCTTCACTGCTGTATCCGCATACGTTCCCAAGAGTGCCTAGCACGTGGCTCTTGGATAGGTGGATGGCCCAGTAGAGGAGTGGCTGATGTATGGGTTATGCTGAACACACATTTTTCTTTATTGAAGGACGGTTGACACAATGTTACATTAGTTTCAGGTATGCAACATAGTGATCTGAAAAATCTATACCTTATGGTATGATCACCACAAGTGTAGCTACCATCTCTCACCATTCAGTGCCATTACTATCTCATTGACTGTATTCCCTGTATCGTACCTGTTATCCTCATGACTTATTCATTTAATAACTGGAAGCCTGTATCTCCAATTCACCTTTACTGATCTTGCCCATCCCCCCCCATACTCCTCCCCTTTGGCAACCATCAGTTTGTTCTCTGTGGGTCTGTTTCTGCGCGCGCACACACACACACACAATATTTATCCATTCATCTATCAGTAGACACTTAGGTTCCTTCCGTATCTGGGCTATCATAAATAATGCTGCTGCAAAAAACATAGGGGTACATGTATCTTTTCAAATTAGTGTTGTTTTCTTTGGGCAAATACTAGTAGTCGAATTACTGGATCATATGGTATTTCCATTTTAATTCTTTGAGGAACTTCCAGACTGTTGTCTGCACCAATTTACATTCCCCCCAACAGCGCTGGAGGGTTCCTTTTTTGGACACCTTCGCCAACACTTGTTATTTTTTCTCATTTTGATTCTAGCCATTCTGACTGGTGTGAGGTGATCTCATTGTGGTTTGATTTGCATTTCCCTGATAGTGATGTTCAACATTTTTTCATGTGTCTGTTGGCCATCTGTATGTATTCTTTGGAAAAATGTATTCAGGTCCTCTGCCCATTTTTTTATTATTTTGGGGGAGGAGTGTTGAGTTTGAGAAGTTCTTTATATAGTTGGAATGTTAACCCCTAATCAGATGTATCATTTGCAAATATCTTCTCCCACTCAGTATGTTAGATGGTTTCCTTCATTGTGCAAAAACTTTTTATTTTGGTGTAGTCCCAATTGTTTATTTGAGAAGACCTATCTAGAAAAATGTTGCTAAGGCTGATGTCAAAGAAATTTCTGTCTGTGTGTTTTCTTCTAGGAGTTTTAAGGTTTCAAGACTCACTTTTAATCCATTTTGGTTTTGTGTCTGGTGTAAGAAAGTGGTTCAGTTTCATTCTTTTGCATGTAGCTGTCCAGTTTTCCCAGTACCATTTGTTAAAGAGACAGTCTTTTTCTCATTGTATATTCTTACCTTTGTTGTAGATTAATTGACCATATAATCATGGGCTTATTTCTGGGCTCTCAATTCTGTTCCACTGACCTATGTGTCTATTTTTGTGCCAGTACAATACTTTTTTGATTACTGCAGCTTTGTAGTATATCTTGAAATCTGGGATTAAGATACCTCCTGTTAGGTTTTTCTTTTTCAAGATTGCTTTGGCTATTTGGGGTCTTTTGTGGTTCCATACAAATTTTAGTACCATTTCTGTGAAAAGTTCTGTGAGTTGTGAAAAATGCTGTTGGTATTTTGATAGAGACTGCATTGAATCTGTAGATTGCTTTCAGTACTATGACATTTTAATTCTACCAATCCATGAACATGAAATACTTTTCCATTTGCTTGTGTCATCTTCAGTTTCTTTCACCAATGTCTTAACAGTTTTCAAAGTACAGGTCTTTCACTTCCTTGGTTAAGTTTATTCCTAGGTATTGTGTTCTTTTTGGTGCAATTGTAAATGAGATTTTTTTTCATTCGTATCTCTGCTACTTCATCATTAGTGTATAGAAATGTAACTGATTTCTGTGTATTAATTTTGTGTCCTGCAGTTTTACTGAATTCATTTATTCTAGCAGATTTTAGTGGCGTCTAGGGTTGTCTATAAATCGTATCATGTTGTCTGCAAATAGTGACAGCTTTACTTCTTCCTTACCAATTTGGATGCCTTTTCTTTTTTTTTTCTCTGATTGCTGTGGCTAAGACTTCCAGTACTATGTTGAGTAAAAGTGGCAAGAGTGGACATCTTTGTCTTCCTGCTGATTTTAGAAGGAAAGTGCAGTTTTTCCCATTGAGTATGATGTTAGCTGTGTGTTTTTCATATATGGCTCTTATTATGTTGAGGTCTCTTTCCTCTAACCCCACTTAGTTGAGAGTTTTTATCATGAGCAGCCAGATGTTGAATCTTGTCCAATGCTTTTTCTGTATCTATTAAGATAAGATTTTTATCCTGTTTTGTTGATCTGGTATATTCATGTTGATTTACAAATATTGAAGCATCCCTGCATCCCTAGGATAAATTCCACTTGATCATGGTGAATGGTCCTTCTAATGTATTTTTGAATGTGGTTTAGTCATATTTTAAGGACTTTTGCATCTATGTTCATCAAGGATATTTGTGTGTGTGTGTGGTGTCCTTGTCTTGGTGGTTTTGCTATCAAGCTAATTATGGCCTTTCAGAATATATTTGGAAGCTTCTATTTTTTTTTTTTAATAGGTTGAGGAGAATAGGTATTAAATATTTGGTAGAATTCACCTATGAATCCTCATTTTTTAACTCATTTCTGGACTACTATTGTGAGGTTTTGGTTACCAATTCAATTTCATTACTAGTAATTGGTCTGTTTAGAGTTTCTATTTCATCCTGATTTAGTTTCAGAAGATTTGATGTTTCTAGGAATTTATCCACTTCTACTTTGTTCATTTTATTGGCGTAGAATTTTTTATAGCAGTAGTTTCTTATAATCCTTGGTATTACTGTGGTTTCAGTTGTTATTTCTATTTTGTTTCTAATTTTGTGTTTTTATTTTTGATGATCCAGCTAAAGGTTTATCAATTTTGTCTGTTTTTTTTTTTTTTTTCATCAAAGAACCATCTCTTGGTTTCATTGATCTTTTGCAATTTTTTTTTCTTTTTTGTCTCTATTTCATTTGTTTCTGCTCTGGTGTTTATTATTTCTTCCCTCTACTGACCTTGGGTTCTGTTTGTTCTTCTTTTTCTAGTTCCTTTAAATGGAAGGCTAGATTGTTTATTTGAGACTTCTCTTGTTTCTCGAGGTAGATCTGGATCACTATAAATTTCCCTTTAGAACTGATTTCTCAGTATCTTAAAATTTTTTATACTGTTGTTTTCATTTTCATGTTTTCATGTATTATTAAATTATTTCCTCTTTGATTTGTTGACCCACTGGGTGTTTAGTAGTGTATTGTTTAGCCTCCACATGTTTGAATTTTTTTCCTTTTTTTTTCCCTTGTGATTGATTTCTAGTTTCATAACATGTGGTTGGAAAAGATGTAGCATATGATTTCATTCTTATTAAATCTGAGATTTGCTCTGTGGCCTAACATGTGATCTATTCTGGAGAATATTCCATGTGCACTAGAAAAGAATGTGTCTTGATGTTTTTGCATGGAATGTTCTGCATATATCTGAAGTCCATCTGGTCTAATGTGTCAAAGACATTGTCAATGTTCAAAGACATTGTTTCCTTATTGATTTTCTGCCTGGATAATCTATCCATTGAAGTAAGTGGAGTGTTAATGTCCCCAATCATAGTGCTGTCAGTAGTACTCTCTTCATGTCTGTTAATACTTGCTTTATATATTTAGGTGCTTCAATGTTCAAGGCATAGATATTTAAAACCATTAAATTCTCTTGGAGTGAACCATTTATCATTATGTAATGCCCTTCTTTGTCTCGTGTTACAGTCATTGTTTTAAAGTCTATTTTGTCTACCCTAGCTTTTTTTTTTTTTTCCATCTCCATTCACATGGAATTTTTTTTTTCACCTTTTCACTTTCAGGCTGTATGTGTCTTTAGATCTGAAGCAAGTCTCATGTAGACACCATACAGATGGGTCTTGTTTTTTATCCATTTGGCTGTCCTGTGTCCTTTGATTGGAGCATTTAGACCATTTACATTAAAGTAGTTATTGATAGGTATGTACTTTTTGCCATTTCATTAATTTTTGGTTGTTTTTATGTTCCTTTCTTCTTTCTTTACTTGTGATTGATGACTTTCTGTAGTGTTATGCTTAGCTATTTTTTATGTACCTATTACAGGTTTTGGGTGTGTGGTTACCATAAGGTTCATATATAAATATCCTAAGTATATAGCAGTCTATAGTAAGTTGATGGTCACTTAAGTTTGAACCTATGCTCAAAGAACATTCTCACTCCCCCCTCCACATTTTATGTATATGTTTTCATAGTTTATATCTTTGTATTCACAATTTTCTTCTAATTATGACCTTTTC